ACCTTCTTATTTTCTGGCACAGCAAAAAGTTCTAGGCTTTAGCTCTGGAGTCATTTCTTCAAAGATTCCTTTTTTAAAAAATTAGAGAATGGATATTTATAAGCCAAGATCTGAGTGTTAGGTATTTTCATGCTATTGAGGTGTTACTGCTCCCAGGGTACATGTGTATATGTAAACACACACATTTATTTCTGTATTTGTCTATATATATTGAAAACCATACTGTCATACTAGTGCTTCCAAATCTAGTCCAGATCCATAGGTTTCATGCTGATTTTCTCCCTTTGCATGTTTGCAACTCCGTTCTCTGACATGAGGACCCTTGCTCCCACTATCCTTTATATATTTACTTATTGGATCAAGTCTCAGGTATGTCAGCAACCTCCTACCACTGTTGATGCTCTTAGTGGACCTCCTTCCCACCCTGCTGAAGATCAAATGGATATCCTTATCTTGTTCCACTGAGGCCTCTATACTTCATGCCAGACTACTGCTACTGCCACACAGATACTCTCTCACACTTGGGATCCAACAAAAATACCAGGCTGCTGCCACTGCTTGCCCATGTGCGATATCGTCTTCATCCTGCCCAGACTCCAGCATCACTTCTGCCACCCTTCCACTCCCTGTGCACAGATGGTTGCCTCACTCTGCTTGACTTCAACAACCTGTACTTGCCTACGTCAAGATCCTGGTTATATTCTATCATTGCTATCTTCTAGAAATCTTATTTTTGTACTTCTGTTAATATGACAGTAACCATCTGGAATTTTATATATGGTATAAGATAGTAGGGTAAGGGGTCAATCATTTTCCATATGTATATTCAGTTGATTTAGCAGTAGTTTTCTAGAATAATTGAAATACAGTTGATGAACAATATTATGTTGGTTTTGGGTGTACTAAATGATTTGATATTTGCATACATCATAAAATGATCACCACAGTAAGTTTAGTAACCATCTCTCCCCATAAAAAGTTTTATGATATTAATGACCTTACTTCTTGGGCTATATATTACATCCCTGTGACTTACATAACTAAAGGTTTATACGTCTTAATTTCCTTCACCTATTTTGTCCACCCCCCAACTCCCTCCCTTTTTGGCATCTGTGCATTCGTTCTCTGTATCTGTGAGTGTGTTTTCTATCTGTTTTCATTTTGTTTGTTTTGGTTTTTTTTTTTGGTGAAATCGTGTGGTATTTGTCTTCCTCTATCTGACTTAACTTCACTTAAATTCTTTTAAAACTATCTTTTTCTCTTTGTCATAAATTAGGAGTCAGAATCTCTTGGATTTTTCAAACATTTTTAAAAAGTTATAAGTATTCCACTGAAAATTGGTAACATTTAAATTGTTTGTTTTAAGCTTATAATATGGAATTCAGCTTTTTTTTTTCTATAGGAACAGTATATAAATGGTGGCTAGAATCCCAAGTAAGACAGACAGAGACTTTATTCCTAATTTATTTTTAATTGTGATAAAATATATGTAACAAAATTTTACCATTTTAACCTTTCTTAGTACACTTAAGTACAATTAATTCAGTGTCAATAAATACATTCATGGTGTTGTGTAGCCATCACCATTGTCCATCTCTGTAACTTTTCCATCTTTCAAAACAGAGAACTCATTTAGAGAACTCATTTAAATTGGTAATAGTAAAAAGAAAGAAAGAAGGAAACAAAATCTAATGGCTTACAATCTCTTTCTACAGAATATAAGAAATCCAGGTAACAGTAGTCTAGCAAATCTTTTCCTCATTTGTCACAAGTTAACTTCTGTGAGCTTAAGCTCAGTTGTAAAAAGAAGGGTTAAACTTGATCCCTAGCTTCTTCAACTCTAATGGTCTTATAAAAATCATTGAAAATTTTAGCATCTTTTTGAACAATTAATGTGAAACGCATTTTCAGTTTATTTTCTAGAAAATGAGATGGTAAAATATTATAATTGTGTTTCTCTTAATAGTTAATAGATGTTCCATCCCTCACCATGCATTACAGCATCACTATATATTCATTGTTGACAATTGGAAAAGTAGAATTCAAAATAGAGGCAGGGGAAAAACCATTCATAATCCTGTCCTCAGAGGTTAACTTATCAAACATTGCTTTCCATTTTTTAAATACAGTTTTTATCTTCTCTTTTTTACTTAATGTCATGCCATAGGCAGTATCCTATATGACTTATAGACTGTTCTTACACATGATTATTAATCAATGCATAGTATTTGCGTGCTAAATCACTTCGGTCTTGTCCGAATCTTTGTGACCCTATGGACTGTAGCCCACCAGGCTCCTCTGTCCATGCAATTCTCCAGGCAAGAATACTGGAGTGGGTTGCTATGCCCTTCTCCAGGGGCATAGTATTTAATCTTATAAAATTATCATTATTTGTGCAACCATTCCAACACCTTATATTTAGGATATTTTGCATTTTCCCAAGTACAATGTTCAAAAGAATATATTGAATATTAAGACATTTGCTTTTTTAATATTTCCTTAGAATTCGGTTCAGTTGCTCAGTCATGTCCAACTCTTTGCGACCCCATGGACTGCAGCATGCCAGGCTTCCCTCAGGATAGATTAACAGAATTACTAAGTCAAAGAGTTCAACATTTTTAAAGCTATTAGATTGCTTTTCATAAAGTTTGTGTGAAGTTATATATCCAACAGCACTGTGAAGGGACCTGCTTTTGCTGCATTAAAAATTTTTTGAGATGTTTAATTGTGATAAACTATATCTAACATAAGATTTGCCATTTTAACCAATTTTAACTGCACAATTCTGTGGCATCAGTTACATTTCCAGTATTGAGCAGCTATTACCACTATCTATTTCCAAAACTTTTTCACTATCTCAAACTTACTTTGTAACCATTAAGCAGTAAACTCCTTACCCTCCTCTCTCCCTTGCCCCTGGTAGCTTCTAATCTACTTTATATGAATTTACCTATTCTAAATATAAGTGAAATCACAAAATATAGACCTTTTGTGTCTGGTTAATTTCACTTAGCATAATGTTTTCAAGGTTTGTCCATGTTGTGGCAGATACCAGAATTTCATCCCTTTTTATGGCTGAATGACTGTCCATTGTGTGTGTGTGTTTGAGTGTGTATACACACACCATGTTTTGTATTTCTGTATCTGTTGATGGATACTCTTGAGTTGTTTCCACCTTTTGGCTATTGTGAATAATGCATCACCGAACACTAGGGTAAAGTATTCAAGTCCCGGTTCTCAGCTCTTTTAAGTATTTACCTAGGGGTAGAATTGGTGGGTCATATGGTAATCCTAGGGGTAGTTTTTTGAAGGACTGCCAAACCAAACTGTTTTCCATAGTGGCAGCACCATTTTCCATTCCCACCAGCAGTTTTTGATGATTCCAATTTCTGCACATCCTTGCCAACATTTGTTACTTTCTGTTTTTGTTTTTATTTATTATTATTGCCTCCTAGTAGTATGAAGTAATATGTCATTGTTACTTTGATTTACATTTCCCTAATGAATAATAATATTGAATAGATTTTCATGTGCTTATTGTTTTTTATTTTAATTGGGGTTTTGTTGCTTTTAAATGTTGTAATAGTTTCTTCTGTACAATGAAGTGAATCAGCTATATTTATACATACCCCCCTCCCTCTTGAACCTCCCGGTCACCCACTCCTCACTCCATCCATATGGGTCACCACATGCACCGAGCTGAGCTCCCTGCCCTGTACTATAGGTCCCCACTATCTGTTCTACACATCAGTGGATGTCAATCCCAGTCTCCAAGTTCATCCCACTACCTCCCCCCTCATTCCATGTCCATATATCTGTCTGTTCCCTACATCTGTGTCTCTATTTGTGCCCTGCAGATTGGTTCATCTGTACCATTTTTCTAGACTCTACATACATGCATTAAATATGATTCTCACTTTTCTCTTTCTGACTTACTTCACTCTGTATGACAGACTCTAGGTCCATCCACATCTCTACAAATGACCCAGTTTTGTTCTTTTCTATGGCTGAGTAATATCCTATTGTATATATGTGCCACATCTTCTTTATCCAGTCTTCTGTTGATGGACATTTAGGTTGGTTCCATGTCCTGGCTATTGTAGTGTTGCTATGAACTTTGGGGTGCATATGTGTATCCTCTTTGGAAAATATCTGTTCCAGGTCCTTTGCCAATTTTTTAAATTGTCTTTTTATGGTGAGTTATAGGAGTTCTTTATCTGTTCTTCATGTTAAACCATCATCAGATGTACAGTTTGCAGGATTTTCTCCCATTCTGTGTTGTTTTTCCCTTTCTTGAGAATGCCATTTGCTTCACAAAAGGTTTGAATTCTGATACAGTCTAATTTTTTTTACTTCTGCTTTTGATATCATATTTAAGAATCCATTGTTAAATCCAGATTTATCCCTATGTTTTCTTCTAAGAATTTTATGGTTTTAATGCTTGCATTTAGGTCATCAGTTAATTTCCAGTTTTTGTATAGGATATGAGGTTAATAATTCTTATGTAGAATATGTCATTGGTATAGCAAATATTTATGAATTAATCCAGGTAACAGAAATTGGTACTTTTACAAGACACCCTTTCTGTGTCCATTTACATCTTTTTAAAAAATAATTGAATTAGGCATGAGAGTAATTGATTCTTTGAATGCAAGGAAGCAAGTGGTCAAATATATCCTGAATGCTATAAAAATATTTTGTAGTCTGTGAAGAGAATGTCTTATCTCCCAGTGGAGGAATATTGTTAAATCATTATTTATTATTATTTTCATTTAAACATCTAAAGAGTAGTCACTTATTTTAACTAGAGTCATTAAAATTATTATTAGTGGTATAATTACTTCTAAGAACATTTTATTATTTAAATGGAAGTAATATATTATTTTACCTATTTTAGTTATTTCTGAAAACTATAATTTATCTTTGTGACAAAACTTTCTGTTATATGTTTCCCTTTTATTTTGTATTTTTCCTGATTTTTTGTCATTGATGATTTTTAGCCAACAGAAGCTGTATCTCCCTCTTCTCCCACTGTCCCTGTGATCCCTGTCCTGCCAGTCCCTGCTGAGAATACTGTCATCCTACCCATCATACCACAGGTTTTTATTAGTTTCTTTTTTCTTTATATAATTTTATTTGTTTTTAATGGTTTCATTTGTATTCTTTTCAGATCATTTCAACTGTTTCTTTGTTAGATTTGGTTATACACTTTGGACTTTAAATGATATTTTTAGGGAGCTAAATATCTGGGATTTAATATAAGATGGGTTCTATATTTGCTGTTTTATTAGGTTATCTACAAAAAAGATACATTCTAAACTTCATCATATTGAACCTCCTTAGATTTGTTATCATGCCTTTTATACATGTAAGTCTGTTCAAAACAGTTTTAAAATTTATTTGCTTTGGGAAATTTTGTTCATTTTCTAAAGATAGTAAAAAATAATGATCCCTCCTGATCTTGTACTATATGTGTCCTTTTATATATAGCATTTTGTTTTCCAGTTTATATTGATCTTCTTTGGAAATACTCAATCTTTCTGTCATTTGGTAGGACAACATACTTCACATTTGTTATTGAAATATAATAGCTGATGTATATAAAGTATTTGGGAACTCTTTATGATATCTTTGCAACTTTTCTGTAAATGTAAAAATACTCTAAAATTATGAGTTTATGTTTTTAAGTTAACATGTAACAGTCAAAAAATACAATGAGATAATAGCCAGATGTCAGAGAACCTGAATATTTGTAGCTTTCAGAGCTTTAGTATTTCCAAGGGATGGCTTGTTAGGACAATAACTACTCTACCAACAGAGTTATCCGAAGGTAAAATCACGGTGTTGTTAGTAAGTAGGATAATTGAGGTCTTTCACACCAAAAGTCATTATCTCATTTTAATGTGTAAACAAATGGATTTTTAGGTAATTTTACTATTACTGACCTGTAGCATAAAATCTAGTGAAAATGGTGTTTTTGCTGTGTAAACAGTGTCAAAATAAGTCCTATTAGGGGGAAAAATGAGTTATCACCTTTCATTGTTCTCATCTCAGTGCCCTCTCCTCTCCTAAAAAGTGAAAATCAGTAAGAACATTATACAAAATAAGATTCTAGGGGAAATATAGGTATTACACTAAAACTTAAGAAAATCACGAAAAGTCAAATTATAAAACTACCCAAAATTGAATAGGTAAGTCCAGATGAATATTTTCTGTACAATGCAAAGAGAAATTGAATTTATAAATTATAAAATATAATTCTACATAGACAGTCAAAGGGTTATTGTAATAATGTAACGTTCTTCCAAGTGACTAGGATTTAGTAGCACAATACTTTTTAAAGTAGGAGACTTGAAAGTTTATTCTAGTCATGTCACCTCAGTTTGTCTTTTGATGTCAAAATAGTTTTCTGGAACCCTTTGAAATTTTGTAGTAATTTCTGCTCTTATATTCAATTAGGAACCAGTCTTCTCCTGTTCAGAAGTTCTCTGATTTATTTATTCCAAGCATCCCTAGCTTAGTATCACACTACACTTGAAAATTGTTTAGAGATTGCATAACCTTGTAATTATAAATAAAGAACTTAGATTGATCTGGTTTAGAATTCTAGTTCTGCCACTTCCTGTGCTCTCCAGTATTCTTGCCTGGACAATTTCATGGACAGAGGAGCCTGACAAGCTATAGTCCATGGGATCACAAAGAGTCAGACATGACTGAGCAACTAATACTTTTTCATTTTCCTAACACTTACTAGATGTGTGATTGAGCAATTTCCTTAACCTTGACCTTGTTACTCACCTGTAGCACTGATGATGATAGTAGTACTTACTTGAGATGTTTTACAGTGATTGAAAGAATAATATGCATGTGTAGCTGGCACTTGATCTTGGGTATTTGTATCACTAGTGTTACTTCATATTTGCTTGAGACAGTAAACCAGGGAGCAAGTTTAAAAACTTAACAGGAGAGGCTTATTTATATTACCTAACCTCATTTTAGGTTTTAAATATACTTACAAAAGTCTAAGTAGAATAGTTTAATAATTTGTTTTGTTTTACATGAGAAGGCTGTGGGTGTGCCTCATTTTGCAGAATAAGTGAGTGTATACCTGAGTAATTGAGTATAACATATACATTATAAAATTAATGAGAGTAATTAAAATATTTGTCCCCAAATGAATTTTTAAATCCGTATCTTACATATAACCAGATTTTAACATTTTAAATAAATACAGTTTTTCTTCTAAAGATCTACTGCTTTATACTTTGGATGCATCGGGAGATGATAGAAACAGAAGATTTAAGATTTAGAGTCTAGTCCTGCTTTGTGACTCAAATTATTTAACTTCTCTGAGTTTTATACTCCCTTCATCTATTAAAAATGGGGGCTGACACCTGTCTATTTCAAAGTGAGTTTGAGGACAGATAGATAGCTAGAAAGATGATAAAATTTTAAAATATTGTCTTATATTATTTCTAGAACTTTAAACTTTCAAAGTACTTTTATATTGATCATGTCATTTAAATTTTATGAAAATATGAAAACTATCATGCTTATTAGTTAGAGTGGTACAGAGATAGAATGAATGGCTTTTATTTATTTATTGAAGGATAATTGCTTTACAGGATTTTGTTTTCTGTCAGGCTTCAACATGAATCAGCCATTGATATACATACATCCCCTCCATCTTGAGCTTCCCTTCAATCTCCCCATCCCATCCCTCTAGATTGATAGAGAGCCCCTGTTTGAGACATAGAGCAAATTCCCATTGGCTATCTATTTTACATACGGTAATGTAAGTTTCCATGTTACTCTCTCCATACGTCTTATGCTCTTCTCCCCTCTGCCCGTGTCCATAAGTCTGTTTTCTATGTCTGTTTCTCCATTGCTGCCCTGCAAATAAATTCTTCAATACCATCTTTCTAGATTCTGTATATATGTGTTAGTATACAATATTTATCTTTCTTTTTCTGACTTACTTCATTCTGTATAATAGGCTCTAGGTTCATCCACCTCATTAGAATTGACTCACATGCTTCTTAGGGCTGAGTAACATTCCATTGTGTATTGTACCACAATTTCTTTATCCGTTCATCTGTCGATGGACATCTAGGTTGCTTCCATGTTCTAGCTATTGTAAATAGTGCTGCAGTGAACATTGGAGTACATGTGTCTTTTTCAATTTTGGTTTCCTCAGGGTATATGCCTAGGAGTGGCATTGCTAGGTTATATTATTCCTAGGTTTTTAAGGAATCTCCATACTGTCTTCCACAGTGGCTGTATCAGTTTACATTCCCACCAACAGTGCAAGAGGGTTCCCTTTTCTCCACACCCTCTCCAGCACGTATTGTTTGTAGACTTCTTGATGATGGCTATTCTGACCAGTGTAAGGTGGTATCTCATTGTAGTTTTGATTTGCATTTCTCTAATAATGAGCAGTACTGAACATCTTTTCATGTTTGTTATCCATCTGTATGTCTTCTTTGGAAAATGCCTATTTAGGTCTTTTCCCCACTTTTTGATTGGGTTGTTTGTTTTTCTGGTATTGAGTTGTATGAGCTGCTTGTGTATTTTGGAAATTAATCCTTTGTCAGTTGTTTCATTTGCTATTATTTTCTCCCATTCCAAGGGTTGTCTTTTCTCCTAGCTTATAGTTTCCTTTGCTCTGCAAAAGCTTTTGAGTTTAATCAAGTCCCACTTATTTACTTTCATTTTTATTTCATTACTCTAGAAGGTGGGTCATAGAGGATCTTGCTTTAATTTATGTCATTGAGTGTTCTGCCTATATTTTCCTATAAGAGTTTTATAGTTTCTGATCTTACATTTAGGTCTTTAATCCATTTTGAGTTTATCTTTGTGTGTGGTGTTAGGGAGTGTTCTAATTTCATTCTTTTACATGTAGCTGTCCGGTTTTCTCAACACCACTTATTGAAGAGGCTTTCTTTGCCCCATTGTATAGTCTTGCCTCTTTTGTCAGAAATAAGGTATCAATAGGTGCATGGGTTTATTTCTGGGCTTTCTATCTTGTTCCATTGGTCTGTATTTCTGTTTCTGTCCCCATACCATACTGTCTTGATGACTGTAGCTTTGTAGAATAATCTGAAGTCAGGAAAGTTGATTCCTCCAGCTCCATTCTTCTTTCTCAAGACTGCTTTGGCTATTCGGGGTCTTTTGTTTCCGTATGAATTGTGAAATTTTTTGTTCTAGTTCTGTGAAAAATGCTATTGGTAACTTGGTAAGGATCATGTTAAATCTGTAGATTGCATTTGGTAGTGTAGTCATTTTCACAATATTGATTCTTCCTACCCAGGAATGTGGAATATCTCTCCATCTGTTTATGTCATATTTGATTTCTTTCATTGGTATCGTATAATTTTCTGTATACAGTTCCTTTGTCTCCTTAGGTAGATTTATTCCTAGATATTTAATTATTTTTGTTGCACTGGTGAATGGGATTGATTCCTTAATTTCTTTTTCTTATTTTTCATTGTTAATATATAGGAATGCAAGTGGTTTCTGTGTATTGCTTTTGTATGGCTTTTGAAGTTGCAGAAAGAACCTGGACTTTATAGTGAACCTAACTCTACCAATTCCTGGCCTCACCCTTTCCTGGTTGTGTGATGGTGGGAACATTATTCGGGTTCTCATAGCCTCGGTTTCTCCATCCACATAGAAACTGAGCACATAGCAATCGTATAACAGATAATAGTTCTTCCTACTGACGATACAATCTCTAAGATACTAGCCTATTAAATATACACCCAGAGTAAATACTCTTCTTTAATACTAGATTCTTTAGGCCTTTTTTTTTTTTAACCAGTTCTGAGGAGATATGTAATGAAAGTATTATTGCAATGCTTTATAGCTAATTTTATGTGTTTGTATGAAAAGTCTATGTTCATACTCAAATAGACACTTTGGAGGCATTGTTTTTAGTTTAATTATTTGTTACTGTTTCAGTCATGTAAATACAAAAATAAATATAACATTGTTCTTTTCCTCTGAGAGCCTGCTATCTGTTCATGCAAGAGAGAGCAGATAACTCCCCCATGACATGAGAGGAACTAAGGTTAGAAGTCTATCCAGTATAGAGTATCCT